GCGGTAGAGAGCTGGGGCTGATTGTCAGTGTCTGCCCTGGGCGGGCCTGGGGGGGACGCGTGGACAAAGTGACTCCAGCCAGCTCACTCAGGCCTGGCCTGATGGCCAAAGAGCCAGACCATGACGAAAAGGGTCTGTAAGCACTTCACCAGGTGGTCTTTGGCAGCAAGTTGATTAGGTCCCAGGTTGATTAAACTTCCAAATGCTTTGTACACCTGTGGCAAAGCCAGTAGCTCCCGATCCTAAATTGTAGAGTAGATGTTTCTTAAGAAAATTACACAGAAAACAGCCTCCCCCAGCACGTTGGCTCTCGCCTCTCCTTATCTGTAGTTGCTGCTGACCTCGGACGGCCTCATGCTCCTTGCTGGACCGTGCTGATGGCCACTAGGGCTTCCCATGCACATCAGCTTGACTGACTGGTAGTCGGGGCTGTCTGCAGTGTCAGAGAGGATCCTAAGCTATGTCTGGATCCAGCAGGGAAGCGTGCTGTGATCGACTAGTGATGTCTGCCCTGGGCGTGGTCAGGGGGCACCTGTGCCCAGTGTCTGCTATTTCCAGGCTGGTGTTTCTCCACCACAAGGAAGCGAGAAGCTGGTCGGACTTTGGCTGGAAGGCTTCCCTGGCTGCTTTTAGGATTTGTGTTTCCAGGGAAGATCTGATGTTTTCATTTATACTGACATGGTAGCCAGGAGCCCATGAGAGACTAGTTATGTTTATATTAATTTAAATTAGATTTAAGAATCAGCTTCTCTGCTGTATGAGCCACATTTCAAGTTTCCAATAGCCAAGGAGGATGAGTGGATACCGTGTTAGCACAGGCACAGAGGTTTCTAGAAAGTGCTATTGGGCAGAATTGGACTAGACCAGTGGTTTTCACCAAGTGGATTGTGCCAGTGGACATCTGGCAGGCCCCAGAGACATTCCTGGTTGTCCCAAGTGGACAGAAGTGTTTGGTCCCTCATGGGTCAAGACCCAGGATGCCCCTGAGCACCCAGTACACAGACACTGCCCCAGAGAACGCATCCAGCCCCAAATCCCTCTGGTGCCAAGGTGCTCTAGAGTGGTCTTGTCCAGGGCAGAGGAGCATTATGGGAAAGGGGACAACATCATCTTTGCTTTGAGTGACAACTGAGTGTGACATAGAAAGACGTGAGAAAAAGCCAGTCACTGTGAACAGAAAAGAGGAAAAGCAAGCCGTAGCCCCCTCTGATCCTCTTTCCTGCCCCGTACAGCAGGGCAGGACCCCCTTCTCCATGACCAGTGCAGAGTGTGACCGGCTCTTCTCTCCTCCTCCGGAGCGACACTGCCCCACCCGTTACCCTCGCCTGCGCCACTCATAAGCGGATGGAAAGTGAGTCCCACTTTCATTTCTTTCCACACAAACTCGGGTTCCTGAAGCCTAATCCCATGTCCTGATCTGTAAAATGGGACTAAGGATCCGCAGCGGAGCAGGCGAGTCCGTCTCAGCAGCTTGCGGGGCTGGCTGTCCGCCATGGTGAGGACCCTCAGCCCCATCAGCACCCCAGGAGCAGCTGAGAGCGCTCGGGCGTCACAGGTGGGGATAAACTCCCGAGAGTGAGACCTGCCCTGATGTCCAAGGACTGTGTTTGTGTCCTATGATTCATTTTTATTGCATCTATTCAAACAAGAACTGAGATCAAATCCTTCCTTTCAAGTCTCGGAGCTTGGAAAAGCTTTTGGGGATGGAGATTGGGTCATTAGCTCTACCTTGGGGAGCCCCAGGCTGCTCCCTGAATGCCAGTCTCCAAGGCAGGGACTAGTCTAAGCGGTTACTAGAAAGCTGTGTGTCCTTGAGCAAGTTGCCTTCCCTCTCTGTGTTTTGAATGAACCATGGGTAAACAGAGGGGGTTAAATTGGGCAGCACTCAGGAAGCCCTGGGCTTGTCTAAAACCTTCCACCATCTTTCAAAGCATTCGATGCCACTATTTCTAAATATGAGACACGTCATCACCACCGCAGCTAGCCATCTGCTTAAGGTGGGCCATGTCCTGTTCCCCTCCACCGAGGGCCAGGCTTGTGGCAGCTGGGGGCAGGGGGAGGGGGTCTCTCTGGCTTGGAGACCTCTGTTCTCACCTTAGACAACGCGGGAAAGTGCCAGTGGCCTAATCAGATCCTTGAAGGATCCCACCCTGGTAACGTGTCCCCCACTCGTGACAAACTTGATGAGCCACGTGCCACATACCAGGCAGCGAGTGGCCTCACATCAGGGGAAGGCTGCCCGTTTGGGTGGCACCAGAACCATCCGCTGGGCACCTGGGCCCGCTCCCCACGATCAGTCAGTGGTGGGGAGGAGCCAGGAGCCCGGGGTGTGGGCCTCCCAGGTGCGTCCAGTGTGGGAGTAGACGGCCCACGTGGGTTCACACTTCCCTGGCAGGGGCTGGGAGGGAAACCAAGCTCTGAAGAGGCCAGGGGTGTGCCCAAGGTCACGGTCAGCAAAGCACAAGCCCTGCTACTCAAGGTGATCAGACCTGTGTGGGAGTGGACTTCACATCTGGTAATTAGTGACACAGGGTCCTTCCAAAGCAGGGGACCAGGAGACCCCACTCCTCCCCTTCCTTG